ATTAAAAGAAATAGAACAAGCTTAACTGTCAACTTAACCTGCATAAAAAACACATAAGACAGCAAGTAATTATAATCGGCTGGGAAAGTATCTCGCATGCCTGCCATCGTTCAAATTCGACCCATTGTTTAATTTACAGTTGTAAAGAAGTCAATGGAATAAAAATTGCTTTGTACCTCGTAAAAGGTAGTGTTAAGAAAAAACTAATCCACCGGGTCGTGACTCCCACCATAATTAATTTCGAATTAACACATTTAGCTTGACGCATTCTGCTCTCGACGCTCTTCATTTAATACCCACGTCGCTGGTATTATTAAGAAAAGATTACTCGTATTGAAAAAAAAAAAAAAATGCAATCGCTTGGAACTTGGTACAGTTTTTCACAAAGTAAATGTTTGGCTTTTATCTTTTATTATTTGTGCGTACTGATCAACAACCCATTAAACTAAACCAGATGTTGCAGAGAAATATGCACACTAAGCATTGTTCTCATATAAATTAAGTAAAACTTAAGATTAGTTATTCAATCTTGTTGAAAAAGTTTTTTCTTAATTAAACGACGTTGACGCAAATTGCTGAACAGACGCATTGTGAAGAAATAAACGAACTCAATTATACTCAAACTGGAGATACCCATAAATAGACCAAAGATACCACCACAGTTCGCGATTAGTGTGGAAATGCTAAACATAATCGTACGTTTAATCGCAGTAAATTGTGGTTCTCGAAAATATACAATAAGCCGAGCTGTGCGCGAGCTAAAACGAGAAACATATTATATATAAGTACGCATAAGACCATACACCAGAAAGGTGAACTTACTCGCTGTGCTCGTATGTTTCGCGCCATGCTATTATGGTCTTTTCCATATTATAATACGATGCCGAAATTTCAAAATCATAATCTAACGAATTACATGATGGCATGCAGTCACACATTACTTTCACATTATCATCTTTGATTTTTGCATTAGTTTGATTTTGAATTTTTAAAATCATTTCTTCTTCAGCATTTGTATAGCAGAAGACATCTTCAAGGCTACAAAATGGAATAGCGGTAGGTTCTAGAAACAATTTAAACCATAAATGGAAATCGTTGATAAGAAAATTTTACCCCTTACTTGGCATCCAATATTTTACGCAACCACATTTACTTATGGTATAATTAACCAAACATTCAATTTGGCAATTATTCTGCGAGTATGATTTGAAATAACGCAAATATCTCTCATCGTTGAAAAAACATTGACGTCTGTGAAAGAAATAAATACTTATGCTTTTATGCCTATACCAACTATTTTGGTTGGCAAGAAAGAAATTTCGGCGGATTCTCCCTGTCCCCCTCATTGCGCTCACATGGAGCTCTTAAGTCTTACCAAAGGCTTTCTTCTGGTTCTTGTGTGGGGAGATCCGTTTCCACGTTTCTTTGAATTGCTGCGATTGTTATTCGGTCTTCCAACTCCACCCGCAATATGCTTTTTTAAGAGATCGGGATAAACTTTGCTCCGCCTATTGCGAATACTATGTCCATGCGCGTGATACAGACTGATTTTCTTCTAATAAACCATATCATGACGAATTTGGGGCATACGGGTTCTAGAAAATCAGACCAGACGCTCTTTAATATTTTTTCTTTTTAAATTTTTCTTTTTCATTTCTGGTACTAAAGGTGTCGCAAGCGCCCGAAGCATTATGTTATCTTCGTCCTGACAGCGGGAGCGACCAAAAGCGGAACTTGTGTGATAGCTGCAGTTAGCCCGAAATCTCGGGCAGAACTTTAACATGATGTGAAGTTTCATTGCAACCGGTGCCTTACTCATAGGAAGGGAGAGCCTTTAGATTATGCCTTTCTCTTAGCAAATAGAGGATACGACCGTTTCGAATTCGGTGATCTATGTCTCCCTACGGGAAAGAGTAGGCCGGTATGCGACAAATTGCGGCCACAAGTATTGCAAGGATTATTATTTCCGGGATATTGAGTGTCTCACACCCCCATCGAGCGCCGTGGGGTTAAATTTTCTCTCTCTTTCTTTCTCTTTCTTTCTCTCTCTCTCTCTCTCTCTCTGTCTTTCCCTGCCTTTTTCTTTCTTTTTCCAATTATATTGACAACTGTGAGAGGTATATAACAGCAAAAAACGGATAGAGAACAAGCCCGAAATTGCCTTCCTGGCGCTCTAATACATATGTACGAAAAAAAAACTTACTTTTTCGGCTCAATATCATGTAAATTTTTCGCGGACATGACATAATGAGGTATTATGCTAACGAGCACTTCATCGTTATGTGGCACCAATATATAGTTTCCAGTCGTTAACGGTATACTCTCAGGAGAATTTAGAAAAACCTACAAAGAAAAGGAATTAAATGAAGCCCCACTTTTTCAATCTGCGTTTTTAATACTCTTCTGTATTGCATTACCTTATAACCCTGTTTGAAGTTGCGACAGCTATAATCAAAATTGTGCTCGAAACCATTTAGGATGACAACTAAGCCATTACGTGATGACGTAAGTACCATACGTTGCGGATACGAATTGAAGCCTTGACCTACATAGCCATTATCTAACGACCAAGCGCCGGTAATATTATTAAAAGGTGGTAATTCACCGTCAAAATAATTATTGTAATCAATTTTAGTTCTGTCCGCTTGCGGTATGTAACTGCAATGACAGAACTACATCAAAAACCCTACTATATTCACTCCCCCTTTATTTACTCTAATTCTCTGTACATATCCTCTACATCCAATCCATTAAACTGGTAGCAAACTCCTTCGTCTGTTAAAACATATTTGAAGAGATTGCTGCAAAAGTAAAAGCGTCCATTCCATTTACCAAATAGCATCGTTACGTTAGTTCTTACGGCTAAATCCAATAAATTTTGTGGAACATCAAAGATTAAATTCTTCGGCATATAAGGCGCAAAGCGATCAAAAACTTCGCTCTCACATGTTTGCAAAGTGGCTAGAAATCGCTGTAAACTAGATAATGTTGTGATGAAATATTTTGAATAACCTATATAATTCTAACGAAAATCTCAACTTAAGATGTATATATATGCACATATTTGTAATTTATATCTATAGCCTTCACCGAAACATGTGTGATTTGAGCGGTATATTCGCTTTGCTAAAACATTTGCAGGAAACTTCAGAGGCCCCAAAAAATATACGTATTCTTGATGAGCATCAAATTCTGAATCGATTTAAGCATGTCCGACTTTTATAACCATTCCCCTGACCGCAAAAATAAAGTTATCGGACTTCAAATTTAGCAGAAACATTAAAAGTTCTTATACGCACATGGGTATTGAAAATGGGCCAAAAGGACAGGCCCACAGTATCACGTAAACGCTTTACATGTTCTTGGTTCTAGTTATAGTAAAGACACCACACTCACCGATAGGGCATGCTCTACTAATGGCCACACTCTATCTCTTTTTCTCTTTCCCCACTTTCTTCTGACTATTACCTTGTTACACAGTGAATATCCTCCGAGAGAATAATCATATAAAAAACTCAATTTAAATTCGTCGAGACTTATTCGAAATCGGTTCTTATCATTAGCTGAACGTCTATAGATTACATTATATTGGAAAATAGACTCGAACTTGCAAAAAAATTCCTCTTTTGGATATCGTTCAGGCTCGCAAATCTCGAGTACAGTTCAGTGTGTTACTTAAACCAAAAAACGGTTTATTTGTTAAGGGTTTTACATAATCTAAATTCATTAAATTCTCCTTACCCCTTACTCGCAATGACAACGCATTAAATGAAAAATAGAAATAAAACAACAAACAAAAATTTCATAATTCAAAATACGATAACACCACGTCAACGCGTAAAACTCTTGTCATGAAATGCACAAAGAAAAGAACTAATCTATTCATATATTGGTAATTTCCTCTTAAAACTTCAGGGTTTTCTGTTCCTTATATTTTCGAACTATTATAAAGACTACTTAGCAAAATCTTAAACAAGGAACTTTAGAAAACGTCACGTCAGGGAATTTGTGTCATTTCTTTTAGTAGCGGGAGAAGTCGAAAATGCTTTTTGTTCAATCCCAAAACTCATGCTTTTCCGTCATTCATTGTGTGCACTTGTATTCCTTTCATTATGAAAATATATTTTAAAGCAAACTGCCTTATTTGAATAATTGGTAATCCGCCTGAGTGGCCGAGTAGGCAAGAGTCTCGACTGGCAACTCAATGGTCGTGGGTTCAAATCTCAAGTGCGGTAGAGTTTTTAATAAAGCCGAAAGCCTTAGATGCTAGTGCTTTAAGACTTTAGCTTTAGAATTTATTCTCTGGCTAAGTTTATAATAATAATAATAATATTTGAATAATTGGTAATAAAGCTACAGAAGACGTTATAACTATCCTTTCAAATCCATTTAAAATGTCACCTCAAATCCCTTAGTTTAATTATTGCATCATATTCTTGCGCCAACCATAAAACCCGAACTGTTGGAAACGAAATTTAATAAAATATACCGGTATAAACTCTTTAGCTAAACACTTTTTTTTCTTTTGAACCGCTAGGCTAAGCCTATTTTGATTACATCAAATCATCTTATTATAATTAATTTCGCCAGAGAATAATAGAGAAAATGAATTAAGATTTTTAAAAAAAGCATGAATAATGTTCGCTGTAAGTCATGTCGCACGTCTTAGTCCTCTGCTCTATACCAATAAAAATTAATACTCTCTTTTCTTCTCTATCTCTTGCATTCCTTATGCATGAGCTAAAATAAATGCTGAAAGATCTGGGAGAACATCATATTTGTTCCCTCTTTCTCTTCAACAATTTGATTTATTAAATACTACGCAAAATTTTAATATAACTTTCGTAAAGCTTCTTTTTCCTCAACAATTTAATTTATTAAATATTACACTAAATTTTAATACACTTCTATGAGTGAGCAATTCTCCCGCAAAATCGGTTTAGTGGTAGAAGTTTCCTCTTTAAATCTGTTAAATGAGAAATTTTCTTAGCATTTCTGCCTCGGACGTCGCCTAGCCAATCCGCATTTAATCTCTTCGTACAACTTCTTTCTGCACTTGTAAAATGACTTTTATTCGTCGCTAAAAGCCGTTAGATAGTTTTTTCCTTTACATGATTTAAAAAAAAATTACCTTGTGAGGAGAAAGGAGACAGAGTTGCTTTCAATAAATTGTAACGCTTCGATTCTGTTAAAGTGTGAATGAGAGAAATAAGTGAATAAAGCGAGGTGAATAAGTGAATAAAATGAGAAAGTGTGAGAGAAATCTGTCAAATGAGAAAACCACCCTGATAAAACCTATTCGCAAAAATAATTCGCAGCATCTACCTGTGGAAAATAAACAAAAAAAATTTGGACATAACAGTTAATAATTTTAGTTTATTTATAGAAAATTTATTTAAAAATGTAATTGCTAATATGTCTTAGCACATGCCGTTTTTAACTTTTGACTGCGTTTCTACTGAATATTTGTTGAATGTAGTAGTTTTCTGTCGTCTTTCACCTACAGCTATAAGTCGTTTTTGAGTAGATGAGTTAGTGAGTTTGAGAGTTACGTGTCGTTTTTGTGGAAATCGTGGGTCTTATGGAGGTCGTGTGTCTTTTTTGTGAAAGTCATGTGTCTTATGGGGATCATATGTTGTTTCTGCGGAGACATGTGTCCTTTTTTATTGGACAGCATTGCATACTTTATCAACTCTGTTTTTACGTAAAAGGTCAAGAATTTCATTTTTTATAAATTTTATTTCTTAAACAGAATATTAATCTGCCTGTAAACTTTGGAAAAAGGGATTTACATAAGCTTTTACATGGCAAGAAAATATTGTTTACAACATTTTATAACGCAGATAGATGAAGAATTATACTAAGCGATTTGGCGTGGGGTATTTAGTGATCGGTCTTACCTGATTTTACTGTGTCTTATATCTGACGTTACAAAAAGTCCTCACTATTACATATTTAAATATTTCTAGTGGTGATGTAGAAAACATTCGGTTTGAGCCTACCTTCCCTCTTTTTTCCGTTTTTATAACTTAGGTGTCAGATTTTATGCTTAGAACCCACAATGCTTGAAAATGCTTACGAACCCTAAATTGCAGTTTGAAATTCGTTGTGGATGGGGGGAAAGATATAGTTACGGATTGAACAGCTCAATGGCTTATCAGCACGCGTATACATCCACCGGAATTTGTCGAATTCGAGAAATCGTTTGCTGCATATGAAAAAGCCCTTGAAAAGAGTAGTAAAAAAAATTTCGATAAAATTCCGCTACAAAAAGGAGAGTCCTGTGCTAACGAGACGCCTTCACCTAACTTGAGTTTAAAATTTTCTTCAGTGGTTTTCTTTACCTTAACTAAACTTTAAGATTTTCCAATTCACTTAGTACTTTCTTCTTACATTAGCATACATGTGAAGTACTTTATAGCTTTTTTTAACATTTAAAGAAAAGAAAACCAGCTAACGGTTTTTTGCGAGAAATCAAAGACATAACAACACAAAAAATAAGTTGGAATTTATTAAGAACAATCAAAAATTTGCAGACCATTGTTCCCGAAACGTGCATTAAAATCAAAAGTGCCATAATAGATTGACTAGAAATCGCTTTGAAAATATTACCATTTAATTTTCTTAGTCGAAACTCTTTGTTTACAAGGCCGCTTAAACGGATATATCTTTTTCAAAAGCTCATATTGCTCGAGAATAATAAAATGTCTGTAAAAAAATCTAGCTGAGAGAGGGAAATTGATTTAACATACTCTTCATCGGTTATGTTCGATAGATTTTCGAATTGTTGATATTTTTCAATCTCCGACCAGATCTGCTGTGATATGTTCGCAAAGTCAAACACTTCCGTCTCCATTTTAATCTCGGGGCATATAGTGATTGTGGGAAAAGGAATTTTGTGGACGGGTACTAGCGTCTCATCAAAGCCTACTATGACTGGTGAATCCATCCATTTCAAATAACTTTCGCGTATTAAAGAAGTGGCAAAGTATAATGAAATCAACATGAGTACAATCCAATAAATTCTATAAAATAATGCTAGTATTTATTAGAAGTCTTTGCATTGGCCGATCATGCGTGAACTTACTTTTCATAGAATGGTCTATGAATTTCGAAAATATAACGTATACCGTGAATTGAAGTGCTTTTCGAATACTCCGCTAATAAGCCCTTAAAAGCATCCCAACGACTGCCATATTTGATTTTTGATTTAATAATTATATCACTGGGCACATCACTTAAAGCCTTAGAATTAATGCTTAACGAAAGTTCATTTTCACTAGGCGCACTAAGAAATTCTGACTCCGTTTTCGGAAACTCTTCACATTTGTCAGAATCCGGAAACATTTATATAACTTTTCTTATTCTTAAGCCAATATGATGCGTTAACACTAAAAGTGAACATTAGTTTATGACCGCTTTTATAGTTTCAGTATCAAATGCAAAATGGGAGCGTTAACTTAATTATTAACTTAATTACTTCAGGTGCCGGTCACATTTGCAAGTGTTAGCTACCTCCAGGGACATTTAAAATAATTAAACGTTTTAAATTAATACACACAATTTTCATACAAGTGTAGATCATAATTTCGGATATATTTATTTTGCAAAGAAAACATTTTAATATTAACAAGCGAATTATTTATATAATAACAAAGTTATTTCCATTTTAGTGTATGTATATCTTGAAGTCAGTGCGGCCAAACATGAAAGAAGGGACATTAGGACAGTTTGAGCGGTCTTCATTTTTTTAGGGAATTTCTTATCATTTGTCCCTTACCTTAATTGAACTCTAATTTCTTAACAATGGCGGCTAGATGCTATACTTTGTATAAAGTGAGCAAACCAGCACCAATTTCAGTCTTGTTTTGTGGGTGTTAGCTAAAAACAAATTTTTAATTTTTGTCTTCGCTCTTGCAATGACGATCCAAGAATGGTTGGCTAAGTACATGTATTACTAAAACAACTTTTATGATGGTCCAGAATATGTATGTATAAGACGAATTCTAAGCATATTTCTAAATGTTACAAATAGAATTAAAAGAAAATTATAGTAAAGTCTAGTATTGAATATCGGGTAAAAACTGATCCTAAATGGTAGGAAAATCTTTAACTAAGTAGACTTCTTAGAAAAGAATGATGCAATACTTTTGCTGCCTTTCGCTCCCTTTGCAAATTGCTTCTCCTTAGTACTTAAAATACGTTCTTTGGATGATAGCTTTTCCTTTACAGTTTCCCGCTTATCGTCACGACTTTGGCTATCTGTCAACATTTGTCGATTATCCTCAAATATATCCAAATTTGTTGAATTGTTTGATGACCCCTTTACAAGCTTTCGCTTTTTACTGTTGCTGCTACTCAGATTTTCCATTGATTTTCTTTTTTGCATAGACTTTTCCGTCAAAACTGGATTCTTCGATGGAATTTGCATATGTTGGACAAGTTCTTCATAGAAATCTAGCGACAAATAGGTGCCAACGTAATCGCAGGCGCTTTGTATGTAATCCATTTCGTTGATTATCTCATCAGTAGCCTTTTCACTGCGAGCATAATTCTGCGAAACAGCGCTGGAACCGCAATAGATTCCTTGCTTTTTTAAAGCTTCAATTACATTTTTCACTTTAATTGAAAGCCAAGCCAATGTTTTTTCATGATTATATTTGTAATAGCAGACATCATTCACAACTTTAACATCAGTTACGCACCTTAATAGTTCTGGTTGTACAAAGCATGTCAAAAGACGTGCCACTGTTTCGTCCTCATCATCGTGTATGCTATCCAAAGCCATTGCTTTATTTGTGCAATGTTTTCTTAAATGCGGTAAAGCGAAAAATGTCACATCTATTTCAGCCGTTATATAAATACGACCATCTGAGCAGACTTCGTCATTGATAAACCAACTTCGTCTTGGTTCAGCAAATTGAAGTAATTCCATTATATCTTTATCATCACGAGTTATGAATAAAGTTGCTTTATCTTTACCAGGATGAAAGAAACGTTCCAACACCAAATTTTGCGTGCTATCATTAAAAATTTTCTCTGATATAAAGAATACTTTTTTTAAAACATTTACGCCCAATCTCTTCGATTGAAGTTTCCCATCATCTTCCTCAATTTTGTTAGAACGTGTTACTCTCGTTTCGCTCATTTTTAATTAGAAAATAAATAAAAATAAATAAAAGAGTAATTTTTATTGTTATTTACGCGGTAAACGCAATATTTTTTCTTCTTCTTTGTTGCCATTTGCATAACATTGTTACCAGTTCAATTTATTTCAATCTAAGAGCAATAGGATGAATAGACGGCCGAAGAAACAAATACTTGTTTTAATACAATTAATTTCGTAAAATCTTGCTTCTTTTCCTTTTTTCGTTTTCCTACGTTCTTCTACGGTTTCCACAAGGAAAGCAGCAGCACTAAGCCAACAAATAAAAATTTCATCACTTTTTAAACAAATTCTTAAAGTAAAAAATAGAGAGTAATAAATTATTTTATAAGAAAATAAAATTTTTGAAGACTTAAATTTCATTTTGGAATTTTTGACTAATTTTGCGCAATTGCGTTTGATTGCGATAGTTTTTACCACTTTAACAGATTGCGGCACTTATTTCTGCCACTTTAAGAGCATTTAGTTTCAGTTCAAGAGTTGCAATTTATTGAAAGCAACTCTGTGCCTTCTGCATTCTCAACATGTTTGTAAACCATCTAAAGGAAAAAACCAGCTAACGGATTTCAGCGCAAAATCAAAGCCAATTTACAAGTGCACAAAGAATAATTGCGAAAAAAAATTTCAAAATATCGAAATATCGAAAATATAATAAAAGAAGTTTTACGAAAATTATTTGAAAAATTAGTGTAGTATATAATAAATTAAATTGTTGAAGAGAACGAAGCTTTATTGAAATGTTTTCTTCTGTTCAACTTAAAAGTTGTATTTTTGATGAAATTTGGTACATCAACATGTTTTAGCCCAGGGATGAACTCTGTTAAAAATGATTCGGATTAGATCACTTCCTTGACCACTCCACAAATAAAGCCTTATTTTAAAGAGGTGTTATGTGAAATGTGTATTAAACAAAGTGGTGTACATTTTTAAATTTTCATTTTATCTGAGGAAGGGACAAATTAAGGAGCAATAGGTTTTCAGATTCACGAACCAAGTCATTGACGTCCGTTACTGAACTGGCTGGTAATTTTTGTACACTTTCCGGTATTATATTTCATTATAAAAATTCTTTTGAACACTTTATCATAAAATTAACTATTGATATTCTTTAGTAAATATTATACTTATTTTTTCAATTGCAAAAAAAAATTAAATGTAAAAGTTCGTAATTCAGTCAATTTTACATATCGACCTTCACAATGGATTATGTTTGCTATTTTAACATTTTTAGATTAATGAAAAAAATTTAAAATATATTTTATAATAAACTTTTAAAAACATATCCTGGCGTTGTGCCCAGTCACTAGTTTTAAGAGGAACGCATTGTTTTGTGTTCATCGCCGATAAATTAATGGGCGTGGGTATGCGAGATCCGGCCTCAGACCAATATAACTTTCTTTCTTGTTGTGATTAATGTAAGTTTATAAAAGTCTATTTCTTAACAAGGTAGCTGCATATTGTCATGAAACCTGTGCACTTGCGGCGTTTGTAATGATGAATGAATGTTAAATTAGTAAGTGAACTGTCACCTATGCTTTATTTCATTACTTAACGCAATGACAGTGGATAAATAGTTTTGCCTGGTATCAATACAGCAAAACGAATTGATTATATCCGCGGTTTCTGTTGGAGTAACCTGCGCTTCTTTAAAGGAACTCGAAAAATTATATTCTTCATTGGTTTCTGCATGTGCCAAACTGCTCTCTGCTTAACTTTTAATTTCGTTAGAGTTATGTCCTTTCCTTGCGTTTTCCAAATGGCCTTTTGAGATTTATTAACGTTCGCTTGGTTTGACTTACACCTTGCGTTTCATTGGTAGCCTCTTCCATTCTCCAGAAGCAGAAATGCCTGCTTCTTTATTAGCATTCTACACTTTGATTGTTCTCTTCAAGCCATTCTACGATGGCAGTCGGAAAAAAGAGTAATTTTTACCTTTAAGATTTTCGGCGGGTTTTTTTGAGTGGACCTATAAGCCGCATTCCTTAGCTTGACTTAGTTCATCTAAACTCAAAAACTCAAAAAAAAAATTTGTTAAATTTAGTCATAAAACTTTGTAGAAGTGTTGGTTTCCGCAGAATACCATGAATTGCTTACAAGTAATTAAATTGTTGTTTTTTTACTTTTTCATGTGTTATGCTTATTATTATACTCGCTGGGTTAACATGACAGAACGCTTAAATTTCTTTCGCAGATTCCTCAAATCAAGATGTATTATCTATCTAAAGATACATTAATTCTGAACAAATATGGTGGACACGACGACCTGGTGTGTCTTAATAACACCAGGGTATGACATAAAAGGACTTGTAGAATAGAATGCACCAGGGGAAATGTTTTGATCCTAAATTATTGATGGTGGATGTTACGACGTGGTAGGTTAAATTTTCTTAACAATAGCTTTTCGTGAGGTTTGATCGCATTTGTTTTCTTACAACAATAAGTAAAGGAATGAATCGCCAAAGATTTTGATGTACTACGGGCGACGCTCTACTACCTGTACAACAAAATGAAAAGTCGTTATCGCGCACCCAAAAAATTCATTTTTTCCTTATAACGCACAGAAACAACCTTAAAAACAATATAAGCTATATACATTCTTAGTCAGTTCCAAAGCCGGATTGTACTTAAACTAAACTAAACTTTTCAAGGCACACGCCTACAACTCCCACATGTCTATGCGACAAAAACTTTTTAATTCAATATAAATTTTTGCTTTATGTCCCTTTCTTATTTATAATATATTTCTATTTTTTTGGTAATTTTTCACTGGACTTCAGTGTTTCACCAAGATCTTTGTGCACTTGTAAAATGGCTTTGATTTTCGCTAAAAGCCATTAGCTGGTTTTTCCCTTTACAAGGTTTATAAAAAAAGATAGCCAGTGTTGAAAACAGAGAGAGCATATTGTTGCTTTCAATAAATTGCAACGCGTCATATCTGTTAAATGAGAAATTTTCCCCTTGTCAAAGTGGTAGAAATTTAAGGATTATTCAGTTAGATATTCAAATATGCACTGGGTAGCTTTGCACGACGCCAAACCTCGTTATTGGATATATGATAATTAATACAGTTTCATTCTTTTATTATAAATGCTTACCGCAACCAAGGATATTTTTGCCTTTGTCGAGCAAGAGCTTCTTTAACCCTTTTGCATGTAAGCAGCATAAATAAAATGTAGCCAAACAAATTTTTGCGGTGGTTATTATCGTTGCTACAGGAGCCTGTTTCTCTGAAGAAATCAACCCGCGATGCCACCGTTGTCTAATCGGGTGCCAATGTTTGGTTCCACCACATGTTGCTGCATAGCTGTGCACCTTTTGTGTTGGAAAGGCCGACTTCAAGTATTTGCTGGTGAGGGTCAAGTTGTCTCTTGGCGCTGGTTTTCCTGCATCAATGCTGCATTCACCAAAGTAGAGGGGCATTTTGCATTGTTTTTTGAACGGAAAGATCTACAATATTGTTACTGCCTGCAATAGGTTCGTTATTGTCCGTCCCGCACACATCAGCACTAATTTTTCGGCAACTCACCGGAACATACACAATGATGGGCGAACGATGCCCGTTCTCCTATCAAGCTTCTTCAATTTACGTCTGAGCATTGTGAGCTTTTGCCTAACTGTCTCCGCATAAACTACAACATTAATTTTTTCGCTAAACTCTTCTGCTATCTGCTGCCGAATAACGATTTGCAGGCTGGCAAGTTAAATACAAATTGTGAGAGCTGTTGCGAAATTAGTGAGAAACTGGACTAAAGACGAATGGTAACGAAATGAATAATGAATATTTCATGATCTTTATAGACAATTATACACACACAAGAAAACTGTAAAACTTATAAGATAAATTCTCAAAGGATAGATAGTGTCCTCCTTTGCAGTTGGTCTCCTGCTTACTATTTATTCGGAACAATTCCCGCTTAATTTTTACTCCATGTAAAAATAACCACTTTTCCTTAAATGAATTTGGGAGAAATTTCACATTTTCTTTGAAAATTACCTCTTCATCCTCAAGAAAAACGTTTTGTTCGGCTCACATATTCAAACTATTAAATGCTTAAATTAAATAGAATGAAAAAAGTTTTCCTTTCATATATTTACAAATAAGTGTTTCGAGGTAACAAAAAAACTGATAACATATTTATGTTCACTTTAGGTTGAATCTTGGATACGCAACGTATTAAGCAAAGATATAAAGGCAAAAGCTCCATAAAAATTTGCACAGTTGCACGAAATGAAATGACAAATTTTTTACGACAACTCCTATTGATTATAAATATATAAATATTGTAAGAGAATTCTAGACAAACGGTACGATTCTCAGGTGGGCCTCCTTTTCAATACACGAAATAAATATACTCACTTTTAATTTGTTCAATATCTTGAACAATCTTTATTTCTTCAATTTTTACACCATAATTGTTATTCTGTTTTTTATTATTTTTTTGTTTTTTATTTAAAACATATTTTAATTTTTTTACAATTTTTCACTCTATTTTAACTTTTCCAACCACTTATTTGATTGCACAGAAAACCGTTAGCTGGTTTTTTTTCTTTACAAGTTTTAAAAAAAAATTCTATGTGTCGGGAACAGAGAGAGAATAGAGCTCCTTTCAATAAATAAACGCCGACGCTCTGTCATGAAGAAAAAGAAGAATAAAATTATTCACCTGTTCGTACTTTTCGGTTAAAAGTCCAGAGTTGCCCGTCAAAATGCATGCAAACTTAAAAATGTAAAAATTTATGCTTTAATCTCTGTTACAAATATAAAAATTGTTAAAAATTACAAAAGTCTTATCTTAAAAATGATAAAAAGGCAATCGCAAAAGACCAACCTCTATTAAAAGTATTTACTTTATGCTTATTTTTATTTTTTTTGCAAAAATTACCATGTGTTAAGGATAGAGGGAGAAGAAGTCTAGCGTTACTAGTCAAAATGCTTCATTCCAAAACCCTCATTGTTTTCCTAATACAGTAAATTTCTAAATGGAAGAAGAAATTGCTATAAAATGGAGCTGAAAATAAAG